GAAACCCCGTCTCTACTAAAAAATACAAAAAAAAAAAAAAAAAAAAAAAGAAAATGGCAAAAGTCATTATTCTAAGTAACTAGGGAATGGAAAACCAAATATTGTATGTTCTCACTTGTTAGATGGGAGATAAGCTATGAGGATGCAAAGGCGTAAGAATGATATAATGCAGCGGGCTTCTGAATCCCCAGCCATGGACCATTATCAGTCTGTGGCCTGTTAGGAACCATCCACACAGCAGGAAGTGAGCAAGTATTTCCACTTGGGCTCCACCTCTTGTGGAGTACAAGAGTACTGGAGTACAGTGGCACGATCTTGGCTCACTGCAACCTTCACTTCCCAAGTTTAAATCATCCTCCTGCCTCAGCCTCCCAAGTAGCTGGGATTACAAGCACGCACCACCACACCTGGCTAATTTTTGTATTTTTAGCGGAGATGGGGTTTCACCACGTTGGCCAGACTGATCTCAAACTCCTGGCCTCAAGTGATCCACCCGCCTCGGCCTCCCGAAGTGCCGGGATTACAGGCATGAGCCACAATGCCCAGCCCGAAAATTTTTTTAAAAGCCAAACAATTTTTAAAACTCAGTGTAAGAGCCGGATGTGGTGGCTCACGCCTGCAATCCCAGCACTTTGGGAAGCTGAGGCGGGCAGATCACGAGGTCAGACCAAGACCATCCTGGCTAACACAGTGAAACCCCATCTCTACTAAAAATACAAAAAATTATCTGGGCATGGTGGCACGCACCTGTAGTCCCAGCTGCTCGGGAGGCTGAGGCAGGAAAATCACTTGAACCCGGGAGACGGAGGTTGCAGTAAGCTGAGATTGTGCCACTGCACTCCAGCCTGGGCAACAGAGCAAGACTCCATCTCAAAAAAAAAAAAAAAATCAGTAGAAGAAAATAAGACTCATGAGTGATGCTCTCTTTCACAATGACAAAATTATCCTCAATCTTCTTTAAGATTTTAACATCCAAAGTGAGTTTGATTATTCTGATATGTACAAAACCTTGAACATCCATCCTAACTTTTTTTTTTTTTAGATGAAGTCTCACTCTGTTGCCCAGGCTGGGTGCAGTGGCACGATCTTGGCTCACTGCAATCTCCGCCTCCTGGGTTCAAGCGATTCTCCTGCCTCAGCCTCCTGAGTAGCTCGGATTATAGGCGCGTGCCACCATGCCCAGCTAATTTTTGTATTTTTAGTATAGACAGGGTTTTTACCATGTTGGTCAGGCTGGTCTTGAACCCCGACCTCATGTGATCCACCCACCTCGGCCTCCCTAAGTGCTGGGACTACAGGCACGAGCCACCGTGCCCGGTCTGCATCCTAACATTTCACTATGCATCTTATTCAGTTTGATTAACAAAAGTTATATGCCAGGCACAAGTACAACACTCACAAATGCACTATTTCAAACCTAAGTGAGAATGTGGTTTGTCTGAGAGTTTTTAAAACATACGGAGTTTTAAGTCAAAGCAAAGCACATTAACGTCCTTAATAATTTGCTTTTAGAAATATATTAATAACCCAGTATATCACAGTCTTAAGTGCTACTAACAATGCGAAATAATATCCTTTGATGCCCTAAGCAAGTGAGAAAAATACGCAAGAGACAGGGTATAAAAGAGGCAGAAAAGGAAGGAAGCCACAGATGAAAGCAGAATGAAGAAATTAGAGGGGTGGGAGTCAGAGAGGAGAAAATTAGTCACATTAAGTGTAGTGTAAAGCGATACAAGTTCCATAAACACTAACTTGCTTCAATGCTCTCTCTTCCTTCCAAAAGCTAAAATATGCCTATCGTGGCAACTAGCCTAGAAACCACTAACTCCTAATTTTGAGAAACTGGAAAGGGGAAGGAGATAAACATTTAACATCCAGCATGTTTACAGCTGTCACACATACTAGTTTGTGGAAGATTAAAATTTAGAAGCATGCCTCTTGAGAGGAAAAGATGATTAAGGAATTTTGGAGACTTTTTTTAAACAATTACATCATGTTTTGCACAAGAATAATCAGAAACTTAACATGTTTTACTACCAACCTTGCACAAAAGCCATAGCCTACTTCTTGCATGAAATCAGCCAAAGAGCTCTCCATCATGGTTTTAGCTACCCCTCCGGAATCAGGCAGGATCCTGTCCATTAGAATGTCCCGTTTTTCAGGGTATAAAAGTGGTGCGAGCACCACAGGACAGCGTTCTTGGGGAAAATCTGAGGGAAGAAAAAGGTTACAACTGCTGTATTAATTAAAAACAAACAATCCTCTTTTGCTCTATCCAAAATCCCCTCAAACCCAATTCTCTCACAAGTTCATATCAAAGGCAAGCTTATTTCATTTTTTCCAGCCTATTAGCCCAAGTTATGACTTTAACATCAATTTCAAAATTTGAATACTTTTATATCACAAAAAATGCTCATCAGTGTACCTTTAACATTTGATACTGGGATTCCATCTATTGACCAACTCATACCCTAAATATTACTTTAAATTTTCACAACAGGGCTATCACTTCCCATGCAGAGAAAGCAAACAATTAGAATATCAGTCTATTTATTTCACTGGCAAGTGGAGTTTCCCACTAGTGAGAATGTTAATGTACATTAAACTATATAAACATTAGGAAGTAAATAAAAATAACCATGAGAATGGATGTTAATCCACTACCAGATTTGTTTTAAAAAGAATTCTTAATCTTTCTCAAACATGAAAGCTCAGAGGCAACAAAATAACTAGAATTTATCTTAACTTTACAATGCCAATATCCAAGGAGGTGAAGTGAGCAAATCAAAAGTGACCAATTTTTTAAGCTAAAAACAGCATGTAAGGCTAGGCATGGTGTCCTGCTCTCCTGAGCTTCCCAAAGTGCTGGGATTACTGGCCTGAGCCACTGTGCCCAGCTGATGTTGTCTCTTTTTTAAAAAGAGAAAGAAAGAGGGGGAGGGGGAGAAGGGAGGGGAAGGGGAGAGGGAGAGGGGAGAAAAGAGAGAGGAGAGAAAAAAGAGAAAAAAATGCTTTTGTGATGTGTCTGTGGTCATCCAAGAAAACTATTCACTGTAGGCTACAAAGACTCCCTTACCTCTGCGCAGCGTCTTAAGAAAAGCGTCTATCTGTTCTTGTCCAACTCCAAAGGCTCCCTTCTGCCCAAAGAGGAGATGGGAGAGGAGGAGGTGTAGGACCTCTATTGCTATATCTTGGAAGCCACCTTCTTGATTTCCACTGACGTCTGCGTCAATGTAAGAACGCAGAAGATCTGGAAGCTTCTGTTTGATAAACTGGGCAGCTAGAAGTCAGGTAAACCAAAAACCACAAGTTATTTTTGCACCACAATGGGTTAAAAAGTCACATACCATCAAAATGCAGATAATCACCCTTCTCATTCACTAGCTCACCCCTCTCTCTAATGCTTTCTCTAGCTGACAAGTATAAAGAAAGTAATGGCCAGGGACCGGCTGTGGTGAGGGGAAAATGGGAGAGTTGTTGATAGGCATAGTTCTGTTTGGCAAGATAACGTTCTAGAGATCTGTTACACAACCTAAATACAATTATCATTATGGAAATTTACACTTAATTATGAGGGGGCCGGGTGCGGTGGCTCACACCTGTAATCCCAGCACTTTGGGAGGCCGAGGTGGGCAGATCACAAGGTCAGGAGATCGAGACCACCCTGGCTAACATAGTGAAACCCCGTCTCCACTAAAAAATACCAAAAAATTAGCTGGGCATGGTGGCGGGCGCCTGTAGTCCTAGCTATTCAGGAGACTGAGGCAGAAGAATGGCGTGAACCTAGGAGGCGGAACTTCCAGTGAGCCGAGATCACGCCACTGCACTACAGCCTGGGTGACAGAGAGAACGAGACTCCGTCTCAAAAAAAAAAAATTCTGTTATGAGGTAACATTTATATTACATGTTTTTTACCATAGAGAGAAATTAATTTCAGATTATCTTAGTAAGTCTAAACCACAGAGCCTCATGATTAAAAACCCATGTATTTTAAAGTCTCACTTCATGATATTTTTGGAAAAGTAACTCACCGAAACCTCTAAGATCTGAGCTGGAAGAATTCAACAGGGCAAGGCCAAAAATTACCTGAAACAAGAAGGGTTAGATTAACCAAAGAGTCAAATGGCTGTTTCTAATTCTAATTCTGTCTACGTCTCTTTTCTTAAATCACTCACCTCTTGTACTTTGCTTAATTTGAGCACTTTACTCAGCTGGGCAAATAAGTGGGGTGCAGGTTTTAAACTCTGAAACAAACCAAATTTTAGTTTAAAATAAGAACTTGTCTTTTCAAAAACTTTTTAACAACCTATCTGTTTGCTCAAGGATGGCACTACATAGGAGTTGCTTGATTCTGTAGTGTTGCTAGAAACATCACACTATGTCCTAAAACTATGACAAACTTAAGCCTTCACATGATCTGGTTTTAGTAAGATTCTATTTATTATTAAATGAACTGTCTTAATTTTGTTACAAAGCTATGAAAGACATCCCAAAATAACAACCTGAAATTTTTATATTAAGACATCACATTAACAGATCAAGGCTTAGGGCCTTTTTATAAAGCCTGAGATCACATTCTTAAAGATAATAGTAATACCAACCTTCTGATAGTGCAATGGATTATCAATGGCATAGGACAGCGTCGAGATAAAATTTGGCTTTGTAATCAGCAACGCACACTCCTGAATCAGAAACTGAGTCTTTAAAAATAAAAAATGACTTTCATTAGCACTAAACGTCATCTAAGAACAAACAGAAGCTGAGGTACTCAGAACACTCAACTGTGATCTAACACTATATACTGTTATATCTTATCAAAATCAGCTCTTTAAAAATCTCACCAGGCGCAGTGGTTGATGCCCATAATCCCAGCGCTTTGCGAAGCTAAAGCAGGTGGATCACCTGAGGCCAAGAATTCAAGACCTGCCTGGCCAACATGGTAAAACCCTGTCTCTACTAAAAATACAAAAATTAGCCAGGCGTGGTGCCAGGCACCTACAATCTCAGCTACTTGGGAGGCTGAGGCAGGAGAATCGCTTGAATCCAGGAGGCAGAGGTTGCAGTGAGCCATGATTGTGCCACCACACTCCAGCCTGGGTGACGAGAGACTCTGTCTCAACAACACCCAAGGTAAAACGAACCAGGAAATAATAAAAAAATAAAAACAAAAATAAGGCCGGGCGCGGTGGCTCAAGCCTGTAATCCCAGCACTTTGGGAGGCCGAGACGGGTGGATCACGAGGTCAGGAGATCAAGACCATCCTGGCTAACACGGTGAAACCCCGTCTCTACTAAAAAAATACAAAAAAACTAGCCGGGCGAGGTGGCGGCGCCTGTAGTCCCAGCTACTCGGGAGGCTGAGGCAGGAGAATGCCGTGAACCGGGGAGGCGGAGCTTGCAGTGAGCTGAGATCCGGCCACTGCACTCCAGCCCGGGCGACAGAGCAAGACTCCGACTCAAAAAAAAAAAAAAGTTATAAAAATAGAGGTTTTTTAAAAAACTCATTACACTACTCAAAGTTTATTACCAGCAAAACTTCCAGAAAAGAAGAGCTCATTGATAAGATTACTGTAAGAAACAGTATAATGACAAACTCTTGCTAGATGGGAAATAAAGCTACAGATTCAATCCAGGACATGAGATCCCCTCTGCCTTACTAACTTTTCAGGCAGGGAACCCCCACATTCCTGCTTCCTTCAGGCAAGTCTGATTCATACCTCTCGAAATCTGAACTAGGTACCTGTTATAGTCTACAGGCAGGCAGAAGAAGGGACGCACAGAAAAAAAAGGAAAAATCTAACACCTTTTCACCCTCCAGCTACAATTACTTCTGGATGCTATTTTGTATGTGTCATATGCTACATACACTATGCCCAAAATTCATTTAACAATTACAGCTAAGTGGACATGAACTTTGTAAGCCCCAAATACCTGATGGAAATCTTTGCCACTGCTTTTACCATCGCCACTGAAATCCACATGCGAAAATAGGCAGCGTAATAAATGCCTGTCTGCCTCAGGACCGTGCCGATTCACAATCTAAAATGACCAAAAATAGTATGTTTAAGAGAGGATTTAAAGAGAAAAAAAAGTTTCAAAAAAGAAAATCAACCTCCAAGGCAAAATTCCAATTTACATTAATTACTCATTTTTGAAGTTAAAGGAATTATTGATGGAAGTGCCCATAAGTTATAATTAATTTTTTTTTTTTTAGAGAGGGTCCGTATTGCCCAGGCTGATATCGAATTCCTGGACTCACAGCATCTCCTTGCCTCACCCTTCTGAGTAGCTAGGATCACAGGCATACACCACTGCTTCCACCTGTAATTCAATATTTTTAAAATGTTTCCTGTGCCGGGCGCAGTGGCTCACGCCTGTAATCCCAGCACTTTGGGAGGCCAAGGCAGGTGGGTTACCAGAGGTCAGGCGTTCAAGACCAGCCTGGTCAACATGGGGAAACCCCGTCTCTACTAAATACACAAAAATTAGCCAAGCATGGTGGTGGGTGCCTGTAATCCCAGTTACTTGCAAGGCTGAGGCAGGAGAATCACTTGAACCCAGGAGGCAGAGGTTGCAGCGAGCCGAGATCGTGCCATTGTAGTCTAGCCTGGCCAACAAGAGTGAAACTTCATCTCAAAAAAAAAAAAGTTTCCTATAGTCAGTCACTGGCAGGAGAAGAGTAGAAAAACTACGGTAATTTTACCATGCAACTCTGTACTTTGCTCAACATCTACACCAAAAACACCAAGTAGCACTGATCAAATGTGTAACGAGATTTTTTTTTTTAAGGCAACAATTTTACATAACACAAATTCTCTCTGCTAACACAACTGTAACACTACACAGCACAGCCTTAAATGAAGCTGCCACCAGATCAGACTTCAGTGATTTAGATGCTGCCCTAGAGCTCAATTAGTTTCCTGCTCTTCCTCAAATTTACCCATGTTTGTTGGTATTTGTTATTCTCTCTAAATGAAAAACTCCAGATAGCTATCATGGTTTGTTCTTTCACTTCATTTAGGTTTCTACTCTAAAGCCACCTTATCAGTGAGGTCTTATTACCATTCCTAAAATAGCAATATGACCTGCCCCAGCATCACTCCTTATTCTGCTTTACTTTTTCTCCATAGCAATTACTACTACCTGCTAATTTACTGAAATTTTCTGTAGCTGTGTTCACTTCTGCACATCTAGTCTAGAAAAGACTTGAGCACAGTATATGTGCAGAGTAATCATGTTTACTAAAAGCCACATACTACCTACACATTGGGCTAGGTATTGCACTGAGCTTTCCTGGCTTAATCTTCAACAACTGCTAACATTTACCACCCTCTATCCCCACGGATAAGGGATTGACACAGTTAAAACAGACTCCTTGAGCCGAAAATCCAAGACTATGAGCTGAAGAATCTGGATTTATAGTCCAGCTTCAAAGGCTATGATCTTCCCACTATATCACAATAACAACATGAAAGCTGGCTAAGTTCTTAGCTTATTTCAGTTTCCCGTCTCCTCATTCAGAAAATATGGAAGTTAAGAAAGACCATCTCTACCAAAAAAAATAGCTAGGCATGGTGATGTACACCTATAATTTCCAGCTACTTGAGAGGCTGAGGTACGAGAATTGCTTGAACCCGGGAGGCAGAGGTTGCAGTAAGCAGAGACTGCGCCACTGCACTCCAGCCTGGATGAGGGAGTGAAACTCTGTCTCCAAAAAAAAACAAAAGAGAGAATAGAGGCCGGGCGCAGTGGCTTACACCCGCAATCCAAACACCTTGGGAGGCTGAGGCTGGAGGATCACATGAACCCAGGAGTTCAAGGTTACAGTGAGCTATGATGGTGCCACCGTGCTCCCACCTTGGGGGACAAAGCAGTACCATCTCAATAAAAAATAAAACAAAAGGGCAGGCAAGGTGGCTCATACCCGTAATCCCAGCACTTTGGGAGGCCGAGGCGGGCAGATCACAAGGTCAGGAGAACGAAACCATCCTGGGTAACACAGTGAAACCCCGTCTCTACTAAAAAATACAAAAAAAATTAGCCAGGTGTGATGGCAGGCACCTGTAGTCCTAGCTACCAGCGAGGTTGAGGTGGGAGAATGGCTTGAACCCAGGAGACAGAGCTTGCAGTGAGCCCAGATCGTGCCACTGCACTCCAGCCTGGGCAACAGAGCGAGACTCCATCTCAAAACAAACAAACAAACAAACAAAAAATAAATAAAGAAAGAACAGAATTAACTATGATCCAATTAACCAGATCTCTCACCCTTGGAAAAATACGATAATCTGGTTCAACCTACATTTGTTGAGTATATGCTACACACTATTCTAGCTGTAAACACAGCAGCAGAGGAGACTTAATAGGTTCCAAATTCTCACTAAGCCAATTTTTGTGGGAGAAGTACAGGCAAAAAATTTCTGACAACATTATCTGTTACAAAAAGAAAATAAAACAGAGCTTGCTAATATTGATGCAGGGGGTTATCTCAGAGACCTTCTAAGGTGAGACCTGTGAGCTGAAACAACCATAGATACGGGTGAAGAAAAAACAATCCAGGGAGAAGCAAAAACCTAGAGTGCAAAAGCACAGAAACAGAAAAGATCTCTGAAGAAAAAAGTTCAGACGGAATCAGGGGGCCAGATCATGGTTAATGCATACACTGACTTGTCTGAGACTGTGTTATCAACCTAAAAAATAGAAGGCACATTTCATCACACTGTCAATGGCCAAAGAATAAAAAAGTTTCAAGTTTTTGCTTCACTAGGATCAGCAAAGATTTACTAAAATCCCATTATCCTTACATTTGTTTCTTGCTTAATTTTTCCCATGCGAATTATACAATAAAAATCTGGAATGAGTATTTTTAAGAGGCAGAATATGTTTTCAAAGTTAACTATGCACCGGGCGCAGTGGCTCACGCCTGTACTCCCAGCACTTTGTGGGGCCAAGGTGGGCAGATCACCTGAGGTCAAGAGTTCGAGACCAGCCTGACCAACATGGTGAAACCCCATCTCTACTAAAAATACAAAAATTAGCCGGACGTGGTGGCGTGCTCTCCTAATCCCAGCTACTCAGGAGGCTGCGGTTGGAGAATCGCTTGAACCGAGGAGCCGGAGTTTGCAGTAAGCCGAGATTGCACCATTGCACTCCAGCTTGGGCAACAAGAGCGAAACCCGTCTCAAAAAAAAAGTTAACTATGGAGATACTCCATTATTTGTGTGGCACATATGTTTGATACACTCTAAGTCTTAATCCTCCCTCATGTGTCTTCTTTAGGTCAAATAGTGTCTACCATTCAATATGATTTTTTTCAACCATTTCATATAATTTTCTAAATCTCTGACATCATAGACTTATTTGCTAATATCCCTCTTAATATGTGGCTCCTAGATCATAATGTTTTACTACAGTCATAAATCGAAACATTATAGAAATACTGCAAAAAGCCTTTGATATACTTAATTTTTCATATAGCCTAAGATTTTGCTACCAGATTGTAAGGTGTTTAATACAGTTTTTTAATTATTTTACTAGTCTCCCCTTACCAACTGGTAGAATGGTTTCTATTTTAAGCAAAAATGTGTAGGGCTTAATTTCAGAGGAATTAAGGGGACTGAGGCGGGCAGGTCACCTGAGGTTGGGAGTTCAAGACCAGCCTGATCAACACGGAAAAACCCCGTCTCTACTAAAAATACAAAATTAGCTGGGCGTGGTGGCGCATGCCTGTAATCTCAGCAACTCTGGAGGCTGAGGCAGGAGAATCGCTTGAACCCAGGAGGCGGAGGTTGCAGTGAGTGGAGATCACGCCATTGCACTCCAGCCTGGGCAACAAGAGTGAAAGTCTCATCTCAAACCAAAATCAAAAAAACAAAAAAAGAAACGCAGACACAGAAGGCCACATATAGTACGATTCCATTTATATGAAATGTTCAGAATATGCAAATCCATCAAGGCAGAAATAGAATAGTGGTCACTAAGGGCTAGACGGAGGAGGAAAAGAATAATGAGTGCAAATTAACCCAGGTATTTCTTTCTGAGGTAACGAAAATGTTCTGAAATTAGATAGTGGTTATGGTTGCACAACTTTGTGAATCTAAAAAACTACCAAATTATGTATTTTAAAAGGGTGAATCTGGCCAGGCGTGGTGGCTCATGTCTTTAATCCCAGCGCTTTGGGAGGCCGAGGCAGGTGGATCACATGAGGCCAGAAGTTTGAGACCAACCTGGCCTACACGGTGAAACCCCATCTCTACTACAAACAAAAATAAGCCGATGTGGTGGTGCACGCCTGTAATCCTAGCTACTGCGGAGGGAGAGGCTTGGAAATCACTTGAACCCGGGAGGCGGAGATTGCAGTCAGCTGAGATTATACCATGCACTCCAGTCTGGGAAACAGACCAATACTGTCTCATTTAAAAAAAAAAAAGAGGCTGGGCATGGTGGCTCATGCCTGTAATCCCAGCACTCTGGGAGGCCAAGGTGGGTGGATCACCTGAGGTCAGGAGTTTGAGACCAGCCTGGCCAACATGGTGAAACCCCCTCTCTGCTAAAAACAAAAAAAATTAGCCAGGCATTGTGGTGGATGCCTGTAATTCCAGCTACTCGGGAAGCTGAGGCAGGAGAATGTCTTGAACCCAGGAGGTAAAGGTTGCAGTGAGCCAAGATCGCACCATTGCACTTCAGCCTGGGAAGCAATAGTGAAACTCCATCTCAAAAAAAAAAGAAAAGAAAAAGAAAAAGAAAAAATAGCTGGGCACAGTGGCTCACGCCTGTAATCCCAGCATCCCAGCACTTTGGGAGGCTGAGGCAGGTGGATCACAAGGTAAGGAGTTCAAGACCAGCCTGGCCAAGATGGTGAAAACCCTATCTGTACTAAAAATACAAAAAAATTACTTAGGCATGGTGGTGGGTGCCTGTAATCTCAGCTACTCGGGAGGCTGAGGCGGAGAATTGCTTTAACCCGAGAGACGGAGGTTGCAGTGAGTGGAGATCGCGCCACTGCACTCTAGCCTGGGAGACAGAGCGAGACTCCGTCAAAAACAAAAAAAAAAAGGGATTTTTACAACCTGTGGATATTTCGATTTTTTAAAATGTGAAAAATAAAGGAACTAATAAAGAAAAAAAAGAGGAACCAGACCAAAACAAGTCCGATCACATTTTATAATTTGTTTTAGAGATGCAAGTCACAGCATTTTATTCAAGTTAATCTGTTTCATTCAATAATCTACCATATTGTTCCCTGCACCACTATTACTGTCAGTATTTCTCTTCGGAGATGACCAGGTTTTTAAAAATCTGGCTTGAATTTCCATAATGCCTAACTCTATGATCAAAAAAATTTTGTTTTCCATCTAAAAAAAAAAAAAAAAAAGAAAACTCCATCGCAATTAAAAAAAAAAAAAAACATCCTTACCAAAAAGCAACCCCTTAATCACAAGACAGATAGAGGGAAAGATTAAAATATATTTGCAGAAATTTATCTTCCCTAGAAACAATTCATAGTCCACAACCTCTCAGATTTGGCTTTACTTGGGGACTTTATTTTGGGGAGGGGGTTCTCATAAATGTTTGCTTAATAAAAATAACCTGCCCCACTGTATCATGGAAGGGAAATGAGGACTAGTCCCCAGAGAACAAGCAGGCCGTCCTCCAGGGAAGGGGTCCTAATGGCTCCTAGGGGTGACAGAGTCAGTGATCCTGCCTCTCCAACCAGTCACCAGTAATAAAGTATAACCAGGTGAATGGGAGAGGCCGTAACTAACCAGATAACCCACGGGCCAGAATCTCTAAAACAGGAATGCTTTTGTGTTTGAGTAAGAAAGAGGTGGAAAGAGATACTTTTGAAGAAAGTTACGGAGAATAGAAAAGTATGAAAAGCATAAAGGTTTTTCACCACAGAATCCACAGAATGGTATCAAAGGCAGTCTTGTACTTTTCTTTTGAGATGAAGGTACCCCAAATGGGTTGTGCAATTTTCACATAAAAACTGGAATGATACTGAACAAGTGAAATTGAAATCAGTTTCCCTCCTTTGTTCAATGAACACTGATAGAGCACCTGTGTGCAAGGCAGTGGGACAAGTGCTGAATGGAAAAGTAAAGCTGTCTAAGATGTGGCCCTTAGCTGAAGGAGCAATCTAGCAGTGCCATCAGACCCCTGCACACTACAGAGCATGGTGTCAGGGACCAAGAGGCGGGAAGGACCACTTCCGGCTGCAGCATCCGGGATGGCACTCTGCAGTCCTTCCCTCTAGGTTCTCAGCATGTGCTCCATGCCTGTGTGACCGCTCAGCCTGTCACGTTCTGGGAACTTGCTCATCTTCCTTATCTTTCTCTATAGCATGAGAAATGTAAGTCTGAAAGGATAAAATCCTACCTCACAGGTACCTAATAAAAGTGTATGGAATTGATGTACGGTGAAAGTGTCACTTTATCTTGTTCCAGCAAGGTAGAAAAATAATTGGGAAAAGAGAGGTAAATAGTGGTGGTGAGGGCAAGGTATTCTCATCAGAAGGTGGGGGCAAAGGTATACATACTAAAAAGTCCATTTACGGCTGGGCGCGGTGGCTCACACCCGTAATTCAGCACTTTGGAAGGCGGATCACGAGGTCAGATCGAGACCATCCTGGCTAACACGGTGAAACCCCGTCTCTACTAAAAATACAAAAAAATTAGCCGGGCCTGGTGGCAGGCACCTGTAGTCCCAGCTACTTGGGAGGCTGAGGCAGGAGAATGGCGTGAACCCAGGAGGCGGAGCTTGAAGTGAGCCAAGATCACACCACTGCACTCCAGCCTGGTCGACAAAGCGAGACTCCGTCTCAAAAAAAAAGAAAGTCAATTTAACATGTGGCTTACCCCAGAGGACACAAGGGTCCTGATAGTCAAGAACCATAAGAAGGTAACTGGAAGTCCTCTTGCCAAAAAGGACTGAACAGCTAAAATCTTTTTCTATTTCTTTTTTAACAACTGGTCTATTCAAGCTCAACCAGGGCATTTAAAAAGAAAAAGATTAAAAAAAGGACTAACTAGCTTAAATAGCTTTGAAGGACAATTTCTAGAAAGTACAAAGATTGGCCGGGCACGATGGCTCATGCCTGTAATCACAGCACTTTGGGAGGCCGAGGCGGGCAAATGGCCTGAGGTCAGGAGTTCGAGACCAGTGTGGCCAACATGGTGAAACTCCCTCTCTACTAAAAATACAAAAAATTAGCTGGCTGTGGTGGCGGAAGCCTGTAATCCCAGCTACTCGGGAGGCTGAAATAGGAAGATTGCTCAAACCCAGGAGAACGAGGCTGCAGTGAGCGCCACTGTACTCCAGCTTGAGCGACCGTAAAACTCTGTCTCAAAAAAAAAAAAAAAAAAAAAAATTAGAAAGATCACTGGATAAACACTTCACCACCCTCCCCAACACACAAAAAATGTTGAGAATAAATGTAAAAGCGTAAAGAAAACTTTCAGCTATCTTGAGGTTCGTTTTTGGCACTTTGATCTGTAAGCAATCAAACATGGAGAAACGCTATCTCAAAGAGGAAAGTCTGTAGGAACCATACAAGGACTCTCCCACATGACTCAGCCAGGCAAGCCAATACCTACTGCACGAGAGGGTGTGATGGTGGCCCACCAAGTACTGAGTGAAGGAGCCCAGGGGCCCAAGGTTCTGATAAAGGATACTCCAAGACCAAAAGACAACCTATGTGAAGCAGTCCAGCCCCAGGACTGTGATCAGCAAGGGCAAGGGTCTGGCTGGACAGAAGTAGGTGGCAGCTGCACTGCTGGCTTCCGACTTCACTATCATGAAAAACCCAGACATGAAGTTGGTTAGGGACCATCCCCGACCCTGTTTAAGAAAAGCCTGGGAGCCAGGCGCAAGACCTCACGTCTATAATCCCAGCACCTTGGGAGGCCAAGGCGGGCAGATCACCTGAGGTCAGGAGTTTCAGATCAGCCTGGCCAACATGGTGACACCTCGTCTCTACTAAAAATATAAAAATCTGCCGGGCGTGGTGGCTCACACCTGTAATCCTAGCACTTTGGGAGGCCAAGGCAGGCAGATCACCTGAGGTCAAGAGTTCAAGACCAGCCTAGCCAACATGGTGAAACCTCATCTCTACTAAAATACAAAAATTAGCCAGGCATGATGGTGCATGCCTATAATCCCAGCTACTCGGAAAGTTAAGACAGAAGAATCGCTTGAACTTGGGAGATGGTGGTTGCAGTGAGCTAAGATCGCACCACTGCACACCTGGGAAGCTGAGCAAGACTCCGTCTCAAAAAAAAAAATAAAAAAAAATTAGCTGGGTGTGGTGGCGGGCGCCTGTAGTCCCAGCTACTCAGGAGGCTGAGGCATGAGAATCACTTAAACCCAGGAGAAGGAGGTTGCAGTAAGCCGAGATCACTTCGCTGCACTCCAGCCTGAGCGAAAGAGCTCAGGCTCCTCTGGGAGGCGGAGGTCGTGGTAAGCCAAAATTGCGCCACTGCACACTAGCCTGGGCAACTCTATCTCAAAAAAAAAAAAAGTAAAGAAAGGAAAACCCTAGCTAGCAGGTTTCTCTGGGCCCTGAGCACCAGCCCAAAGACAGGTCAGACCTATTTTATAATTTCCATGGAAAATAAAAAGCTGTGAAAAATCTTTTTAAAAAAAAAGACTGGGCTGGGCGTGGTGGCTCACGCCTGTAATCCCAGAATGAGGCCGAGGCGGATCACTTGAGGTTGGGAGTTCGAGACCAGACTGACGAACATGGTGAAACCCCGTCTCTACTAAATACAGCCAGGCGTGGTGGCACATGCCTGTAATCCCAGCTACTCGGGAGGCTGAGGCAGGAGAACTGCTTGAAGCCGGGAGGCAGAGGATGCAGTGAGCCAAGATCATGCCACTGCACTCCAGCTTGGGTGACAGAGTAAGACTGTCTCCAAAAAAAAAAAAGACTGGGCTAAGAGCTGTTTTACAGATGATGACAGAAATCACTTGAAATAAGGGGCAAAGGTTTGTTACCTTTCATGCAACATGCCCACATAAATGTGTGGTTTTCTTTCCACTGTCTATTCATTCCTTCAATGGCATTTGTTTTCTGGCTAGTTTACTTACATGCTGTATTTCCTGCTGGCTGGCTCGGTAATTTTTCTTGGTTAAATTGTCCACCAGGTAGCTGATTTGAGACAAGGCCAGCGAGAGCGAGTCAAGATTCATTGCTGGTTGGGGCGGAAGCAGGCGGCCGAGCCCGGCGCAAAATCACCATTATTCCCCTTTAGTCACCTCAGAGGCAGGTTAATGCTTTCTTTGTAATTAGGCTATATCTGGTATCTGTATAATATTTTCAGTTCTTCTTTACCAGGAGTCTTACTCTGTTCTGAAACATGGCACCTGTTTAAAAAAAAACACACACACACAAATCCAGATTTTTAAATTAAAGGAAAAAGGCTGATCCAAGTGCAGTGATGTTTACAACTAACTGATCACAACTAGTTGCAGATTTCCTTGTTCCTTGCCACTCCCACTGCTTCACTCGACTAGCCATAAAAAAAATAATAATTAGAAGAGAATAGGGTTAAACTACCATCATCTCTGTGTTAGTACCTAAAATGTTACTAAGGACTTTAAAAAGACAATAAAGTAGCTCAACCACTGTTGACAAGAGATGCCAAGTTTCTCAATTAGGCAGGGCAGGTATGGGTGCGGTGGCTCATGTCTGTAATCCCAGCACTTTACGAGGCCAAGGCGGACAGATCACAAGGGCAGGAGTTCGAGACTAGCCCGGCCAACATGGTGAAACCTGTCTCTCCTAAAAATACAAAAATTAGCCAGGTATGGTGGCGCATGCCTGTAATCCCAGCTACCCAGGAGGCTGAGGCAGGATTGCTTGAACCTGGGAGGCGGAGGGTGCAGTCAGCTGAGATTGCACCATTGCACTTCAGCTTTGGGCGAGAGCAAGACTCCATCTGGGGGGGAAAAAATATGCCTGTAATCCCAGCACTTTGGCAGGCCAAGGTGTGTGGATTGCCTGAGATCAGGAGTTCGTGACCAGTCTGGCCAACATGGTGAAACCCCGTCTCCACTAAGAATACAAAAAAATTTGGCCAGGCATGGTGGTGTGTGCCTGTAATCCCAGCTACTCAAGAGGCTGAGGCAGGGGAATTGCTTGAACCAGGGAGGTGGAGATTGCGGTGAGCCAAGATTATGCCACTGCACTCCAGCCTGGGTGAGAGAGCAGGACTCCGTCTCAAAAAAAGAAAATACTCAACCAAAGAGTTTCACTTTAGGCCGGGCGCGGTGGCTCAAGCCTGTAATCCCAGCACTTTGGGAGGCCGAGACGGGCAGATCACGAGGTCAGCAGATCGAGACCATCCTGGCGAAACCGTGACACCCCGTCTCTACTAAAAAATACAAAAAAAAACTAGCCGGGCGAGGTGGCGGGCGCCTGTAGTCCCAGCTACTCGGGAG